CTAAGCTAAAGCTAAGCTAAAGCTAGGCTAAAGCTAAGCTAAAGCTAAGCTAAAGCTAAACTACAGCTAAGCTAAAGCTAAGCTAAAGCTAAGCTAAAGCTAAAGCTAAAGCTAAAGCTGAGCTAAAGCTAAGCTAAAGCTAAGTTAAAGCTAAAGCTAAAGCTAAAGCTAAAGGTAAAGCTCCCAGGGGACTGGGGGAACCGCGGGGCGGGGACTGGGGGAACCGCCCGGGGCGCTTTCCACTGCCCGGCCCCTTTAAGCTAGAGAGTAAGAACCCTTCTAGGCAGAGCCTAGGTAGGGAAAAAACTGTTAGTTTGGTTATGACGGATTTGGGGCTAGGAAGGATTTTTCACAGAGAACGACTGGGCTGGGAAGGATTTTTGGGCTAGAAATTGGAGTTAGGAAGGGCTTCAAAGAGAAAACGCGTTGGTTGGGGAGGACGTTGGGGTTAGGATAGATGTTGCACAGAAAACGCATGGATTGGGAAGGACTTGGGGGCTAGAGATGAGTTTACAAAGCAAGCGCCTGAGCTTGGGGGGATTAGGACTAGGAAGGATTTTACAAAGAAAACGCCCAGTTGGTCAGGACGTGGGGGTTAGGAAATATTTTTAAAAAAGAAAGCGCTCGGGCTGGGAAGGATTTGGAGCCAGTAATGATGGCACACAGAAAACGCATGTGCTGGGAAGGATTGTTTGGCTGTACCTGATTTTTAAACACGTAGGTTGGGAAGGATTCTGGTGTCAGGAAGGATTTTACACAGAAGACGCTTGGGCTGGGAAGGATCCCAGAGCTTGCACGGATTTTTACAGAAAACGCACAGGCTGGGAAGGATCCTAGGGCCAGGGCGGATATTACAAAAAAAGAAGAAACGCCGGGGCTGAGAATCATGTGGGTGATAGAAAGGGTTTTACTACGAAGACGCATGGGCTGGAGAGGATTTCCGTGCCAGAAGGATTTGACAAAGAAAACGCATGGGCTGGAAAGGATTCTGGGGCCAGGAAATTGAAACGCTCGGGCTAGGAAGGATTGTGAGCCCAGGAATAGTCCCACGCAGAAAACGCCTGGGCTGGGAAGGATTTTGGGGCTATTCAGGATCTTAAACATAAGACGCTTGGACTGGGAAGGATTGACCGTGCAGTAGGAAGGATTATAAAACAACAAGCTTGGAATGGGAAGGATTTTGAGGCTAGAGATAATGTTAAACAGAAAGCGCCTGGGCTGGGAAGGAGATGGGGGCCAGGAACAATTTTACAAAAAAGCGCATGGGCTGGGAGCGAGCTTGGGGCCAGGGAGGGTTTTTTCCACAGAAGACGCATGGACTGGGACAGATGTTTGGACTAGAAATGATTTTGCAAAGAACGCGAATGGATTGGGACGGATCTTTGTTAGGAACAAACTGAAATATACAACGCTTGGACTGTGAATACTATTTTTTTGGGGGGCTATCACGGGTCAATACAGATTTTTGGGCTAATAGTAATTTCACCCAGAAGACGACTGGGTTGGGAAAGATGTGTGGGCCAGGAATACTGCCCAAAGAAGGATAGATCTAGGAGGATTCTGAGGTTAGGAAAGGTCTTCAAACAGAAGAAGAAAAAGGCTTGGGCGGGAAATTATTTGGCCAGGAAGAACTTTACACAGAAGACGCCTGGGCTGGAAGGATTCTGAGCCCAGGAATAATTTCACACAGAAAACCCCTGGGGCCAGTGAAGATTGATGACAGAAGGCGCCTGGGCTGGTAAGCATTATGGAACCATGGCGAAGTTCAAGCAGAAAGCGCGTGGGAGGGGAAGGATGCTGGCGCGACGACGGTTCGCGCACAGGAAACGCATGGGCTGGAAAAGATTATGGTGCGAATAATGCGTTTGAAAAGAACGCCCTTGGTCCGGGAAATATTTTTGGTGCAGGAAGGGCATTGCAACGAAGACGCTCGGGCCGAGAAGGATTCTAAGGCTAGGAAGGATTTCGCAAAGAAAACGCATGGGCTATGAAGGATGTGGGGGCCAGAAAGGATTCAAACAAGAGGAGACTCCTGGGCTGGGGATGACGTTGGGGTTAGGATAGATGTGAAGAGAAAACGCTTGTGCTGGGAAGAATTCTGGGGCCAGGAAAAGTTGCAAAAGAAATGCGGCGGCGAGCAAGCTTGTTGGGTCCAGGGGAGATGCTGCAAAGAAAACGCGTGGGCTGGGCCAGATTTTGGGGCCAGGAAGGGTCTTAGACAGAAAACGCTGGGCTGGGGGGAACTTCGGAGTTTGGCGAGGTTTTTTCTGTCGCACCAAAGTTCTACCAGTAAGCCAATACTTGGGCCGGGCAGGATTGAAGATTGTTGAGCTTGGAGGAGTTTGTAAAATCCGCCCTCGCCCCACAATCCCCCCCAGCCCATGCGTTTACTGTGCGACACCTTTCCCGGCCCCAAATCAGCCCCTGCCCGTGCACTTTCTCGTAAAAAATCAGCCCTGGCCCCCAAATCCGTCCCAGTCCAGGCGCTTTAAGTTTACAG